GCACAGCAGCTCGGAAGGCGAGCACAGACACCAATGCCCCTAAACCCCAAACCCCAAACCCTATACCCCAAACCCTAAACCCTAAACCCTAAACCCTAAACCCTAAACCCTAAACCCCAACACCCAAGCGCCTCCTGGGCCGCCTCCCCCGCTTCGACGGAGTCCCACTCCGCGCCCGGCGCGTCCTCCCATTGGAAGAACCCTGAAGAACTCCAAATAGTGTACTTTGTTGGAGTTTAGGGTTTAGGGTTCAGGGTTCAGGGTTTAGGGTTTCCAAGATTTGGTCCTTTTTCTCAGGGGATCCTAGTAGTTGGGGGTCTATATTCGGGGTCCCGTATTTTCTTAAACCCCCAGGGCTTGAACCCTCCTAAAACCCAAACCCTACACCAAACTCCCTCTCAACCCTGGACCCCTAAACACCCCTAAGCCACACCTCTTGAACTCGCTCCTAAACCCTACACCCTAAACCCGAAACCCGAAGCCCGAAGCCCGAAATCCGAAACCCTAAACCCTAACCTGAAACCCTAAACCCTAAACCCTAAACCCTAAACCCTAAACCCTAAACCCTCGGGCCTCTGGAGGCTTCTCTGCATCCTCGAGGGCCTCGGCATTCGTTGCCTCCTGCTCCTCCTGGCGTCTGAGGCTTTGGGGGTTTAGGGTTTAGGGTTTAGGGCTTAGGGCTTAGGGCTTAGGGCTTAGGGCTTAGGGCTTAGGGCTTAGGGTTGAGGGTCTCTAGGGTCTCTAGGGTCTCTAGGGTCTATACGGTCTATACGGTCTGTAGGATTTAGCATCTATAGAGTTTAGGGCTTAGGGTCTGTGGGGTCTGCAGGGTTTGGGGTGTAGGGTTTAGGGCTTAGGCTTGGACCAAACCCTAAACCCTCAACGAATACAGGTTTGGGAACCCCTAAGACTGCGACTGGCTCTTGAAGGGGCTTAGGGTTTCGGGTTTTGGCGTAGAGAATTTGGGGAGGGTTGAAGCTTTCTAAGGGTTCACAAGCTTCAGGGTTTGGGGCTTTAGGCGGTTTTGGGCTTGGCGCCTTTTAGGACTTAGGGCGAGGGTTTGAGGCCTCTGCGAAGTTTTGCTTGGAACACAGGGGGTTTAAATAGGGTTTACGGTTTGGTGTGCGGCTCGGAAGTCTTCCAAGCCTAAATCCCAAACCCTGAACCCTCAAGCCCTAGCCCCAAAAGCCCTGAACCCAAAACCCTTAACCCTGAACCCTAAACCCCTAAAGCCCTAAACCCTCAACGCAAACCCTAAACCCTAACACCGCGTGAACCCTAAAGCCCAAACCTAACGCCCATACTCCGTAACAGAAACATGCGCTTACTATTCCCCTGGGTTTTTGTAGAGACAAAAACTGTAAAGAATCATGCCGAAAGAAACTATAGAAGCTCTCTATGCCCTACGCCCAAGCCCCAAGCCCTAGAATCCTAAAACCCTGTAAAAAAAACACCCAACTACACAAGCTCTGAAACCGCAGACTGGGTTGGACGATTGTTCCGCCCACCGCTTGGTTTCTTTAATCGTCCGCCGGCCACGTTGCGGAGATGGAAGCAACACAACCAATATATACACTCACAAAAAGGAACCTTATGTACACTCACCAATATTAAAAAGGTACCTTATATACACTCACCAATATTCAGAAATGTAAACCCTACTTCACATGCATCCCCCCCCCCAAAAAAAAGGAACTCATACTCCTGGAAGCTGCGTCAACTTCTACATGGCCGAGTTTAGGGTTTAGGGTTTAGGGTTTAGGGTTTAGGGTTTAGGGTTTAGGGTTTAGGGTTTAGGGTTTAGGGTTTAGGGTTTAGGGTTTAGGGTTTAGGGTTTAGGGTTTAGACTTTAGGGTTCAGCCTTGAAGGGGTGTAGGATGAACACGGTGTCCAGGAAAGCCCTGGTTGGCCAGTCCGTGGTAGTCCACTATTTGCTTGAGAACCCCACAAGAACAAATAACTAAATAATCCCAGATTACCCTTAAGAAGGAATAACATGCCTGATTCTTCAGGGCTCTTAAGCAATGAGAATCAGTCCTTCTCATTTCCTTCATGGCCTTGGGATGTTCGCATGACACGTAGCTCTTCAGCGGTGTGGCTAAACCGTGAAGCCGTAAACCCTAAACCCAGAAACCCCACAACCCTAAACCCTGACACCCTAAAAACCAAAAACCCTAAACCCTTGACCCTATAAGTACAGTCATACTTGGCTAGTAAGGACCATGAACCTCCAACCCTAAACCCTAAACCCTAAACCCTAAACCCCAAACCCTAAAACCCCCTACCCCCTAAACCCTAAACCCTAAACCCTAAACCCCCAACCATAAAAGCCCTGCCTGGTTCGACACCTCCTGCATCTCGGCCTGGGCGGCCTCGGCGGCCTCGGCAGCCTTTCGTACAGGGTTTAGGGTTTGGGGTTTTTGGGGTTTGGGGTTTGGGGTGTTTAGGGTTTAGGGTTTAGGGTTTAGGGTTTAGGGTTTAGGGTTTAGGGTTTAGGGTTTGGGGTCTGGGGTTTGGGGTTTAGGGCTTCAGGGTTCTAGGGGGGGGGGGGGGGGGGGGGGGGGGTGCTGTTTTGGCGTTTTTTGTTTTCAACCCTGAGCCTGCCGGAAACCACCCCACCAAACCCTAAGCCCACAAACCCCTCAACCCCTAAACCCAGAAAAACCCATAACCCTAAACCCTAAACCCCAAACCCTAAACCCTAAACCCGAAAACCTAAACCCTCAACCCTAAACCCTAAACCCCCAAACCCCTACACCCCTAAACCCCTGAACCTGTCGGGGCAGCGCTTGCGCCTCGAGAGCCGCAGCCAGCTTGGCACCTGGAGTTTTTTGGGGGGTTTGGGGTTTGTGGTTTAGGGTTTAGGGTTTAGGGTTTAGGGTTTAGGGGTTAGGGGTTAGGGGTTAGGGGTTAGGGGTTAGGGTTTAGGGTTTAGGGCGTTTGGGCCGTTTGGGGCGGCTAGTTTAGGGCTTGGGGTTTAGGGGTTTAGGGTTTGGGTCTATGAGCTTTGTCGTAGGACTTTGCAGGCTTCTAGGGCTTGGGGTTTAGGCCGCAGGGCTTGAGATGCCTAAACCTTAAACCCTAAACCCTAAACCCTAAACCCTAAGCCCGAAGGGCTTTGTGGGTTTTCGGTGTTTGCGGCGCTTCAGATTGTTGAGGTGGGGAGCTCTAGGCTTTGGGTTCGCCCGCGGATTTAGGGTTTAGGGTTTAAGGTTTAGGGCTGGAGGGTTTAGGGTTTGGGGTTTAGGGTTTGGGGTTTGGGGTCTAGGGTTAGGGTTTAGGGTTTAAGGTTTTTGGCTGCGGGGTTTAGGGCTTGGGGTGTCTCATTGAGGGGGCGCGCGCTGGTGCTAAAAGCACCTAAGAGCGCGCGCCCCCGGCTTGTTGAGCCCCACCCCCGCTTGCGCTCGACCCTCGTCTTGAAACCCTAAACCCTAAACCCTAAACCCCTTACCCTACAAGTATCTCAACAGAGCCAGAGTCCCAACCCCAAACCTGGCCCCGGAACCCTAGAATCCAAAAACCTAACCCTAAACCCCACAACCCTAAACCTTGCAGCCCCAAGCCCTTAGACCCTAAAGCCCTAAAACCCTGAACCCCTAAACCCTACAACCCACAAGCCGAAACCCTAAACCCTACAACCCCAAACCCTAAACCCCAAACCCTAAAATCCGAAACCCTAAACCCCCACACAATAAAATCCTCAACCCCAAACCCCCCAAACCCTAAGATCCGCAACCCTAAACCCAAACCCCAAATTCCTACACCCTAGACCCACCCCGACGCCCTGCAAGCTGAGGAAAGGTCCCTTCTTGTCCTTCTTCTCCTGTACCTCGTTCGGAGCTCTGGGGTTTAGGAGCTTGGGGCTTGGGGTTTAGGGTTTGGGGTTTGGGGTTTGGGGTTTTGGGGTAAATCGAATCCCAGCATGCCTGTTAGGGGTTTGGGGGTTTGGGGCTTTGGGGTTTAGGAATTAGGACTAGGGTTGAGTATTTCTGGTTCAGGGTATTTAGGGTTCAGTAGGGCTTGGGGGGGTTCAGAGCTTTAGGGCTCAGGCATTGGGAGGTTTAGGGCCTAGTAGCTCTCAAATCCTAAGCCCCTACTTGCCGAACCCTAACACCCAAACCTATACTCCCCTTAGAACCTCAATAGTAATAATATTTTTAATATCCCCATTGGGCTTTACATAAACAAAAAATATTCCCAAGGGGGATATAGAAACCCTGCCATCCCAAATCCTCAAGTCCTGGGTGATAAGACCCGGATTAGGCCAAGACTCGGAAGGGGTTCCCCGCAAAGGGCATCCCGAATCCCATCCCTCAAATCGCAAACCCTTGCATCCTAAACCTTCGTAAAATCCTAAAACCTAAAACCTAAACCCTGAACCCTAAACCCTAAACCCTAAACCTCACCCCCACTGTGACCTTGGAGAGGTCGGTGGTGCCCTTCATCATGTTCAGGAACCTCGGATTGTTGGGGCGTTTCGGGTTTGGGGTTTTGGTTTTGAGGGCCTGAGGCTTGAGGGTTTTGTGGGTCAGGGGGTGCA